ATTACGGTATTGTTAGTATCATAATGCTGATGAATTCCATCATAGTCATACAAAGATCGTAACGGTCAAAAAGTTCACTAAAATTCCAGTAGATTTTTTGTCCATTAGGGTATCTGTATGACCACAATGAACATCAACAGGATTACGATACTAAAAAAGTCTATACAATTACCATGAATTTATTAAATTAAACACATTTTTTTTAAAATAGAACAAGCACTCATCAAAATTAACAACTTTAAATATTTCATTAATTAAACCAAAAAGTCATATAAGTAGGTACTGACCTCTTGACAGATTAAAAAACAAAAGGATATATCAAAAAAAGATCAACTGACACTAATGGCCTCTTTACATCATTTTATATATTTTGATTTAAATGTCTTTCAATTATGGCCCACAACTCCACATCAGCTACACTTAAGAGGTTTAATCTCTTTGAACTCTATTTGCTTGCGATGTTTCTTTGGCCGACCCGTGGTTCGCCTTGCAATTAGCGGCATTACTATTGTATATACAATCTCTGGCAACTGTCGTACACCAGGCATTGGGTTGAAAAGAAGGCAATATGTTCTACGGTACATTTGAACTGTGAAATAAACGCTACGAAAGTTTGAAACATCTTCATGCCTATGATCTATAGCAGTGCTTGCATGACTATACGATAACCCACTAACGTGCCACACTCGATAACTGCATGTATGAGTCACAAGATTAACATCATATTTTTTATCTGCATTTATCTCATACATACCTTCATGTGCCCATGTGACTGTATGAAGGAATCTGAACGTATCCCTCCTCAGGTCTATTACTTATTGGGTCTTTGGTGTAAAGCATGCTGCTCCATTCTAGGGACATGATCATCTTCTTTGAAAATTCTCCTATGAGCTTAACCCCTAGGCATTCAAGGTATTTAATAAGGGGTTTCTCCTGAGCTTGTAATATCACCGGTTAAATGATTCAGAGATGTTCGATGTCAGATGATTGTATCTATACGCCTTAAAATGTGTGTTTGCCTAATATTTCAGATGTTGTAATATGATGTTGTTATAGGCCTCAACATTTGCACTCTTAATCTTTGCCATGTACTCAACGAAGTCTGGTCTATACCATGTACATGGCCTTTTTGAAGTTATCAGCAAGGTGTTTCACTGGTTGGAAATATTATTTCAATTGTGGCTTGTAAACCTTTTTGACGATCTGAGACAATCGTCAATGCTGGCAAATCAGGCCTCCCACTAAACTGCTCATTCAGAAGCTCTCGGAACCAAGTCCAAATTAGTGTATTTTCATTCTCAACCAGTGCATATGTTATAGGATATATATTTTCATTCGCATCTACCCCAACTGTAGCCAATAATATTCTTTTTGTATCTTTCCTTTAGAAATGTCTTATCTAGTCGCATTAGCGGTCTACAACCAAACATAAAACCATACAAACATGGACGATTGCCTATAAACACATGCTCAAAACTATCATGATCATCTGTTTAAATAGTCGTTAAGGTTCAAGGGTTAGTGATTCAGATCTTATGTAGATATTTAGCGAGATCCTCATATGACTTCACATGGTAACCCTCATTTACATGTTGTGCAACCTCTTTGCCTCGCCATGCTTGTTAGTAAGATAACATGATACCGTGATCACATTGTATATCATTAACCACATATCTAGGTGTAAGATTGAGCATATCATTCAACCTGTCTTTGATTTTGCTTGCCACCTAGTGGCTGATGAACACCCTTACCTATTCCGTCGGCACATGAGTGTGTGTTTACAAACTTCTTCACCCTGCAGAAGTTTGTTGTATTAACTCCAACAATGTAGTTACCATGAGCACCCATCTACAACACATCTTGCCCATACATGTCTCCTCTCACTTTTTATAAACTTCAAATTGAAGTTTTGTGATATGACATAATCAATAAGATGATTATGGCTTGCCAGTACATCATCAAAATTCCGACCATCTTGAAGTACAACTTCGTAATTGTTAATTCTCAAGGGGCTTTCTATCGAATCGATGTCGTCTATATGCTGCTTGATTTTTTATTCATGCTCATCTTATATGTCTATGCCAGCACCACATTCATTGTGACGTACTTGCTCTGGTCGGGATGTGTTGTAGAAAAAAAAAAGTTCAAGACAAGTCAGAATTATCCTAATCCATAACAAAAAATTGACAAATAAGAAAATTAATGATTTTCATTGCATACTTCTTACATAACCAATCTTGATGGATCATTATCGGGCTTTGTTGGTAGTTGATATTTAGTACAGTTAGACAAACCAATATCGTGCTTTGTTGGTGGTCTAGTCAATAGGTCTGTTTGATAACATAATATTCAATGCAGTCAGACTCAATAGGCCTGTTTGATACGTACATAGTGATGGGAGAAGACCCTTCCATCATATTGGCAATGTCGTCATCACCATCACTACGTATCATATTACGTGGTAACCTTGGGTCAATATACCTAATAGTTATGGTACTTGGGGCATAATTTGATACTTTGACAAGTGATCATTGACTTGTTCAAATGATGGGATCCCCTTGAAAAAATATAACCTTTACGTCCCCACCATTATAAAAAATAATTCCATCTTTAGGTTTTCTATTGAAAAATCCGCCAAAGTGTAAAACGATTTTCACTTTGTTCGCACCCATTACTGTTGCATATAAGCTGAACAATTGCAAAGAAATTTCAGATGGAAACATAAATAAAATACTTATAAAAAGTTCAAAATACTTACAAATAGTGAGGAGGTTGCATGAGGGACATTAGATTGCAATACAATTGTCATAATATAAAAAAAATTTACAATTCCCAACCAAACTACATCAAGTATTATAGGAAAACAGTATTTTGATCGCCAACCACTAAATAAATTTAAACTTATTTATGCAATAATATAAATAAATCTAACACTTATTTATGCAGCATAATATATTTGTTAGATGCTAAAAATGACATAATATTTTGATGACATACCTAAAAATGTTGATGGCAACAATATAAATAAATTTAAAACTTATTTATGCAACATAATATATTTTTTAGATGCTAAAAATAACATAATATTTGATAACATACCTAAAAATCAGTTGATGTGTAAATTTGATGCTCTTAGAGAACTCCTTCAAAGATTGATACATAATAGATGATATGATAGAAAATATATGAGAGATAAAAAATGGATGAGAGATAAAAAGAGGACGAAAGTGCTAAATAATTCGTCAAAATAGGGTTTTATGAAAAAATTGGTAAAAAAGAAAGAAAGCAGGAAACAATTACGGTAACTTTATTATCGTATAAAAGTTTGGAAGTATTACGGTACTACGAGTACTGTAATTCATTGTAAAAACAATATGGTAAACATGTTACCGTAAAAGATTTTATTTATTAAAATGGTTTTCCCATTACCGTATAGAGGCCGCTAAACATTACGGTATTAAAAATACCGTAATGAGTTTTACGGTATTAAAAATACCGTAATGAGTTTTACGGTACAAAGACCGGTAGTTTCATCCAAAATTTTGCGAAAATGGAAAAAAGGGTTCGGGTGAAGTTTTGGGAAGTTGGGGTTTTTTTTTCTAATTTCTTTAAAATAAAGGTATATTAGCGATAATTTCCCTAATTTTTTATATGGTTCTCAAAATTTTAGAACAAAAAAACTCTTAAATAGGTGTTTTTGAGCTAGGGAGTAGATCCATATTGTGCTCCCATGGGAACATGGATTTTTTGAAAAGATAGAGGGTAGCCCTAATATTAGCTGCGGTTTGAAACTTTTCAACCAATAAGAGGGTGGAAGTGATTGGAAAAGTATTACGGTAATAAGAATACCGTAAAGTTTTTCCACACATTACAGGTAATTAAATTCTAGTAATAGTTCAACTTACGTTATAAAATTTCCACCCTCCTATTGGTTGAAAAGCTTCAAACCGAAGCTAATATCAAGGCTACCCCTCTCTCTTTTCAAAAAATCCTTGTTCCTAAGGGAGCACGATGTGGATCTACTCACTCGCTCAAATTATAAAATTTTGAGAACGATATAAAAATTAAGTAGAGTATACATCTTAAAAATTTGAGGTTTGAAAAATACAGCTAGCATAGATTTTTGTCAAGTGAGTAAATATGGATTAGACTCGAGAGTGTAGAAATCCTTTGTTATGAGGCTTGGGCAATATTAAGGTAATTAAATTGCCGTAATACTACTTTAAAGTATTATAGTATTTTAATTACCGTAATGAGTATTACGATATTTAAATTAGCATAATGTTATTACAGAATTTTAATTCCCGTAATAACGGTATTTAAATTACCGTAATATTTAATGTTTATTACAGTAAAAAACTACCATAAATGGTATTTTCGTTAAAAAAAAGTTGAAAATTGAAAAAAAAGGTGTAGGCGAGGTTTTGGAAAGTTGGATTTTTTTTTCCTGATTTTATTAAAATATATATTAGAGATAGTTTCCCAAAATTATATCATCAATTTCAACTTTCTACACATCCTACCCCCAATACTTTTTGTATTATACCTTAAATCCCAACACACTATTTATTAGTGTATTTCCAATCAAATAATGAAACTATTTTTTTTGACCAAAATACCTTTTTTATTTTAACTTATTATTTTATATTCTCTCTTTCAAACTCTCTCTATACTTAACCTTTTTTGCCGTATAGCAACATTTTATGTCGGGCCGTATTTTTTAGCCATAAAAACTTTTGGAACAATAAGAACTTTTTTTTTTTGTGGTAACGTACCGTCCAACTAATGATTTTGTGAGGCGATCTATATAACCATTTCTACTCCTATTTTTCCTGACCTTTTCTTGACCACTGTGTACAAAGGAATGGAGACCGGATTATATCATCTTGATCAAAGGGTAGGGCGTCTCTCATGTGCGTTTGTTTTCCTGCCGGAACGCAAGGAATTGCAGGGGATTTAAGTTCAAACCTTACAAAACCAGACTGAAATTGAAAACAAGATTGTAGAAGTCTAGTTGAATTAATCAAAACACGAAATTGCTGCCTTTTACAGAATTAGAACAGCGCGGAGTTCAACTAAAGCAGTTGAACATGGCCAAGACCCATTTCATGCTTGATTTTGAGCCGAGTTAGTTTGTCCTGTTTCACCCACTGATTTCATGTATACTTCCATTTCACGCTTGATTTTGAGCCAAGTTATTTTGTCCTGTTTCACCCACTGATTTCATGTATACTTCCTTTTCATGCTTGATTTTGAGCCAAGTTATTTTGTCCTGTTTCATCCACTGATTTCATGTGTTCTTTGTATGCTGCCATGGCTTCTGCTGCTCTATTAACCCATATTTGTCTCTCTTCGTCGTTCAGCTCCTGAGATAGACACTATGCCCAGTGAGGTTACTCTCTCTCTCTCAACCCACCAAAAATACACAAACAACACCCCGAATGAGCCTCATGTACCTTCCATTTCACTGAGATAAGGGCATTCAAGGTTGAGTTATTGATGCCCGGCCTGTCCTGCAACAAAAGCTTCCTGGTTTCTTTGCTGCAATAATGAAAGGGTTTTCTTTTTCATCAGAAAAATGCCCAACATTTCAGAATAACATTTGATTTCTAGTGAGAAATACATCACTATGTCAAAGCAGAGGGGTCCTATTTAGTTTACTTGAAAAGAAAAAATGAGGTTGCAGGTTTTTTGGGTTTGTTTGAGTCAGGGACCAGCTCCTTCTGCTGTTTCTTTTTACTACTTTTCTTTGCCCTCTGCAAAAAAAGAGAAAAAAAAATAGTTAGCAACATTTAAAAGGGTATTTCCTGATGTGATATGGAATATTTGAGGATATTTGAAGATAAGAGATATGAGGTATATTCATCACTATTTTTCTTTTGTATGCAAGCTTGCGAAAATCAGGAGGACATTTCTCAGTTGAAGCTTGTATGCAGAAAGTTTATATGCAATTTTTTATAACAAACTGGTCTTCATTGTGACAACTAAGCTGTGAAAATGTGTTAAAAGGTCTTGTAATAACATTCAAAAAACAAAATGTTAAAAAGACTTCTGACAAACCTTGATAATATTATCTGATTTTTCTTTTTTCTTGAGAAGTTGCAGAGCTTCTTGTTTTTGAACCTTAAGCTGTTCTTCCTCTTCATTCTTCAGGGTCGCAGCTTCCTTCACCCATAACAACTAATTAATATTAAAACACATCAAATATTCCCCAACAATTGTTCTTGAATTGAAAAGTACCTCATGCTTTTTCTGTTTGTAGAGATCCATTTCCTTTAAATATTTTTCCTTTTCTTTCTTAGCAGCCTGCATGGTGCCAATAAGAACATGAGAGAGAGAGAGACTAGAACAGGAAAAAGAAAAATTTGCCAATTCTTGAAAGAATAAAAAAGAAAAATTTGCCAATTCTTAAAAGAATAAAAAAGCAGAAAGTCTCGGATAAGAGACTAAAATGGCAATTATCGAATTCTTATGAACCATATCTATTTTTATCTGTGAAACAACACAAAACATAAAGAGAAAGGGACCTCCTCGTAAGGGGCACGCATCTCCTTTGTCATCTTCTTCCATTCCTCCCCTGCAATCTTTGCGTCCTGTCCATTCCATATTGATAAATATGTCATCAACTCCATTACCATGGTTTATGGACTGTGTGATGAACTCATAATTTTGAAACTCAATGAGACAAGATAAACCATCTAAACAAAAACTACAATTTATATTTCAGTATGAAGCAATTGCTTAGATATTATATGCATCAAGAAAAGGCACAATTTCTTACAAAAACAACTGCAATTATCTATGATCTGAATTTTGCTTGAGCAAGCTCGCTTATTATGCAACCAATACTGAAATGTAAACAAAGTACAGAAATGATCACCTCCAAAATGTTCTTATATTCGGAGGGTAATGCTGCCCTCCTTTCTTTCAAGAAAATGAAGAAGGCAAAGTACAGAAATGATCACCTCCAAAATGTTCTTATTTTCGGAGGGTAATGCTGCCCTCCTTTCTTTCGAGAAAATGAAGAACGCTGAAAGTGGCTGCTTCGGTTTCTCAGGATCCTTCTCTTTTTTCTTCTTACCCTTCTTATCCTCCTCATCCTATAATGCATTCAAACGTTTTACTTCAGTTAAAATACTCATCATGAAATGATAACAATACAATCCGTTGTGCCATAGTCAATTAAGAGAATGCAAACGGCAAACATAAGATCAGAGCATCCTTTTGAATTAAAAAGTTTTCATTGTTCAATTTTCTTTTATCAGAGGAATAAGAAAATATATTTTACAGTTCTCTGTTTTATGTTAATTGTTACCTGCTTGAACTGAAGAAACTGCTGAAGCAATTCAAGTGCAGCCTTCTGGTTCTGTTCTTCCTGGTAAAGCTTCAATGCATCCTCCTCTCGCTTCTTCGTCCCAACTACCTGCACCGCATAAAGAGAAAAGACCGAGACATAGTTAGTAATAACAATCAGCATGAAAATGTTCCTGGAGATGAACGCTACTTTTTTGTTTCCCCAAATTTGAAGAAAATTGGGCACACTTTTAAGTAGAGCTCCCTTTCAGCTTTGTACTTTTCTTCATATGGTTTCTTTTCCTCTAAACTCAAATCCTTCCACTTCGCTCCCAAAATGTTGCTTATCTCCTTGAACTCTGCTTCAGGATTCTCACTTTTAATCTGCACGTATTTTATTTCGAGCCATTTACAAAATTGTGGAAAATAAAAATAAAAAAATAAAATAAAATAAAATAAAAATAGAAGGGAGGCATGGAGAAAACCAAAGAAAAACATTACAATGATATTGACAGAAATGGCCTAAAAAAGCAGCTCTTAATCTGCTATAACAGGGCAAGCAGATTCAGTGCAAAACCATGGTAAAAAGGGGGAATAATTCTGTATTAAAATCATTTTACAATTACTCAATTGGCTTGCCAATCAATGGCCTTTGAAAGAAAAAAATAAAGAAAAGAAAAAAAAGAGCAACGTTGTTTCTGATTGGAGCTTACAAATAAAAGAGAACCCATAAAGAGAGATATAATGGCTATTAAATTTCACTATAAAGAAAAACGAGTTGCAGCTACAGATCTGGCTTCCAAGCAACAAAATGCTCCTAACGGATTAAAACAAGCCACCAAAGTAATGGTGGGAACTGTTATCTTATAAAATAAATAAAAAAAGTAAGCAAGGTCAGTGGAAAGGAGATCTTTTTCAAAAGCATATGAAAGATTTTCAAAGTGAAATCATTAAGAATTGAACAAAAGAAAAGTACATTAAAGCTTCTGCTTTATTACTAATTTATTATTTATTTAAGGTCACACCTATTGCAAAACTGGAAGAACAAACCACAGATTCAGATGAGAAAGGCCAAATGTAGAAGCATACATAAATATTTATTAATAACCTGCTCCTTGATGAACATAATGGAATTAGCTCTTATTACCTGATTCCAGTGCTCTTTACACCACAAAATATATGGGGGATTTGGCTTCTTCTCTTTCTCCTTTGTCGGCTGAGCCTGCACAATAGGAAGGCTCTGCACACACAAATAAAAACAAAACAAAAAAGAGGATTTTATTTTTGTTAATATTGATTCAAGAAATGCAAGTGAAGGTTTGAGACCATCATAAGAACAAAAAAAATAAAAAAAAATCATATGCAGCTCTTCTTCTCTCACTAACCAGATTAGGCTTAAACGCTTTCTGTTTCTGCAACTTCTTGATCTCAGACTCGAGCTTCTCTTGTGCTTTTCCCCTAGTCTCTATCTCCTCTGCCTTCTGCTTCAAAAGCTCATCCTTCTCCTTCAATATCTCATCTGCCTTCTCCTTCTCAAGTCTCATCTTTTCGAGCTTTTCCCTCACTTCCTTCAACTCCTCTTCCACTGATTTATGTTTACTTTTCTTCTTATTTGGCTGAGAGACCTTGGGAGCCATTGACGGATGGACAAGGTTCTCTTTCTCCGATTCTGCAAATGAAGGGGAATTGAGCAAAATGTTATCATTCTCATTCTTTGGCTTGAGTGGCTTTCTCGACTTCCTTTGCCGGACTGGTTCAGGTTCTGCAACAACGGTCGCCATAACAAGAGAGTGAGTGAGAGAGAGAGAGAGAGAGAGAGAGAGAGATGTTGAATGGGATTTGTTATTAGAAGGCAGAGAAGAGATTGAGGTTTTAAAGAGGAGCATAGGGCTAACGGTCAGTTGTTTCAAAATTTGAAAGTTAATTTAGAAAGAGCGGATGGGAGACAAAACGGTCACTGTTTTTAAAATTTGAATTTACCTTAACATTTGGCCAAAGCAATAGTTTAAAAAACGGATCGGTGACTCGGATAGGGCTTTTAAAAACCAGATCCGGATCGGAGATCTGGATCCGGTGAATCGGTCAGAATCAAGCTTCAAAAAAATCCGAAAAAATTTATTAAAATTCATTATAAATATTATTTTTTAGGAATTCAATAAGAAATGATGGTACTCCATTAAGAATTTTCATGTTTTTGAATGAATATGCGAATATTGATATGTTATTTCCCTGCATGAACCGTCATTCATTATTATATTGTTCTTCTAGGTCATTATTATATTGCTCTTCTGTATCATTCCTGCTTGATGATGTATATAAACTAGCTATCTCCTCATTCATCCTATGTTTGGCAATTTTTTTACCTTTGTTAGCATTAAGAATTGCCACCATCTGTTTTTTTATATTACTAGGGACACTAGTGCATGCAGAAACTTCTCCCTTAACCCCTGCCAAGTGTTGCTTGAACCTATGTACCCCACTACTTATCACTCTTTGACAGTAATTACAAATAATTTTGTCTTTCTTGTTGGGATCAAGTCTGACCCCATGTTGCCATGCAGGGTCTTCTGCAGATCTTGACATGATTCAACTGTTTTAAGATGTAAAAAGTATAAAATTAACCTGACAGTTCAAAAAGAAAAATAATCACCATATGTAGTGATAATATGTTGCGGTGGTTCATGTAGTCATATTCGTTGTTATTTGTTATTGCAAAATACCTTTTTTGACAATAATATTTTCGTACATATCAATTACAAACATTTAGAATAATATAATAC